AGGCCTGATGGACGAAATTCATGCCAGAGTAGGCCTTCCTTCCCCCGGCTGCCAGCACCAGCTTCCCTCTGGCACTCGGGACCCAGGCTTCCCTCGCAGCCCTGGCTTCCTCTGGAAGGTCATCCAGTCAAATTAGCATATTATGCTTTTATTTTACATATATATATATGTATGTATGTATGTATGTATATACAGTTGACTTGATTTGCATTTCTCCTTCCCTTAAAATATAAGAACGAACCCTGGTCAGTGTTGCTCAGTTGGTTGGGTGTCATCCTGTGCACCAGGGGTTGCCAGTTCAGTTCCCTATCAGGGCACATGCCCAAGTTGCAGGCTCGATCCCTGGTAGGGTGTGTGTAGGAGACAGTCAATCAATGTTTCTCTCTCTTTCACTTCCTCTTTCTCTAATAAATCAGTAAAAGTTATTATTTTTTAAAGATATTTAATTTTTTAAATTTTTTTTATTGTTTAAAATATTATATATAGTATTACATATGTCTCCTTTTTCCCCCATTGACCTCTCCCTAGCCATCTCCACCCCCCAGCACATGCCCTCACCCCCCCCCCGTCTGTGTCTATTGGTTATGCTTATATGCATGCATACAAATCCTTTGGTTGATCTCTTAGGCTCCACCCCACCTGCCTTCCCTCTGAAGTTTGACTGTTCAATGCTTCTCTGTATCTAGATCTATTTTTGTTCTTCACATTTTGTTATTAATTATATCCCACAAATGAGTGAGATGATGGGATATTTGTCTTTCTCCAACTGGCTTATTTCACTTAGCATACTGCTCTCATGTCCATCCCTGCTCTTGAGAATGGTAAGAGTTCTTTCTTTTTCACAGTATCGTAGTATTCCATTGTGTAGATGTACCACCATTTTTTAATCCACTCATCTACTGTTGAGCACTTAGGCTGTTTCCAAATCTTAGCTATTGTATATTGTGCTGCTATGAACATAGGGGTTCATATGTCCTTTCTGATTGGTGTTTCTGATTTCTTGGGCTGTATTCCTAGAAGTGAAATTACTGGGTCAAATGGGAGTTCCATTTTTAATTTTTTGAGGAAACTACATACTGTTTTTCACAGTGGCTGCACCAGTCTGCATTCCCACCAGCAGTATACAAGGATTCCCTTTTCTGCACATCCTTGCCAACACTTGTTTGTTGATTTGTTGATGATAGCCAACAAATAAGTGTGAGGTGGTACCTCATTGCTGTTTGATTTGCATCTCTTGGATGCTTAGTGACTTTGAGCATGTTTACATGTGCGTCTTGGA